AGTGACATCTATGAAATTGTATGATATGCCTTTGTAAATTACCTAAAATTGGTTCTAATATAAATCTTTGAATTTTATAACTGAAAAAGCATATACACACTTAAAATGTGAGTCAGTAAAAGTAGTAGGATTCAAAGATAAAGTGTGATTTATACCTTCAAAAAGCTTAAAATACAGTTCTACTTTTCTATTTATTCAGTCAAATGAATTGTTATATTTAATAACCTTGGGGGGAAAAGTTCCAAAGTATTGAAGATTGTCTAAAAAGTGACTTTTAAGTGAATGCACGCATGCACCGATTTTAAATTAAGTTTAAATATTTATATTTACATTTCAATGATAATGATTTAAATATAAATGGGGCTCCATTTTCTTATTTCTCAAATTGTGACTTTACAATAAAAAGCCTTGGTTTTGAAAATGTGGCAGCTGTTGTGTGCCCTCTAGTGGCCACAAAGTATATCGTTACGTCTCGCCATGAATTTCAGTGGTTTTATTAAGAATGCATTTCACATGTCAGACATTAATTTAACTAACACCACATCTTAAACATTCCACTAATTCTCTCATTATTTTAATTGCAGTAGTTCAAACTCAAGTTATAACCCTTTAGAATATAGGAAAATTTATCCTATATGATTCTAGAGGACATTCATTTTTAAACTACAGAAAATTTTATAAAGGTAACAGTAAGAGCCACATTCAATAAATGCAAAACACATGCATGCAATAAAACAAAAACAGGTTAAATTTTCCTTAGAACATTTACACACACACACACACACGCACACAGACAAAAAGAGAGAGAGAGAGACAGGAATTTTAAGGAATTTCACATGATTGTGGAGGCTAGAGAGTAGGAAATCTGTAGGGCAGCCCAGAAGGTTCTCAATTCATGTAAGAGTTAATGGTACAGCCTAGAATCTAAAATCTGCAGGGTAGGACAGAAGTCTTCGAACTCAGGGAGGAATTTTATGCTGCAGCCTTAGAATTTCTGAGTAAAGATCCTACTGTCCTTACTTTGTCTGGTAATAACAGACCTACTTATAGTTATAACGTGCCTGGTATATATTTTTCCATTCATCCTTTTTATTTTCTTTAAAATAGATTTTATTTTTAGAGCAGTTTTAGATTCACAGTAAAATTGAGTGAAAAGTGCAGAGTTCCCATAGACCTCCTGTCTCCACACATGCACACACAGCCTTCCCCCTACTATCAGCATCCCCCACCAGAGTAGTACCTTTGTTACAGTTGATACACCTACATGGACACATCATTATTCCCATAATCCAAAGTTTATATTAGGGAGAGAGGAAGATGGTGGAGGAGTGAATGGGAGTCACAATGACCTCCTCCCAAGACCAAACTGTAATTGCAACTAAATAGTGGAGAAATCACCTGGAAAACAATGGAACGATAGAGGGAAAGGAGCCTTGGAGCCGTGGACAGACAGTGGATTCAACTCTCACACATCCCAATGGGTGAGAAGTACAGAGGAGGCTCGATAGGGTGGGCTGGGTGCCCTGGGGCACCAGCACCAGAGGGACATTGAAATGGCCAGTTGGATCCCCCTGAGAAGAACAGGATCTGAACCATAAACAGGGACCCCTAGACTACAGCAGCTGAAACCAGGAAAACATAAAGACAAAACGCAACCCCGAAAAGCTTAGGGGTGCTCTCTGCCAGAGACAGGCGGCTGGAGATGCAAAGAGACATTTAAAGGCCCAACGCAAAAATTTGCAGTGGCAGCCGCCCTCCTTGATCTCTGGGTAGAGGCGGCAGCAGAGTGGGCTGGTGCCTGGGAAAAGACTGGTGAGGAAAACTTTGTGAAGAGAACTGAGACAGTGGGCAGGGGAGCCCGGGTGATAACTCACCTCCCACTCTGCAGCTACCATCTCGCTCAGGCATAAGGGAATCAATTAACCTGCCTTTCCTGCGCTTTGCACACAGCTTGTGCTCGTGTGAGCTGGGGGGCTAAGTGCAGACTAGCTGGAAGAAAAAGAGGATTCCTGGCCAAAGGGGTCACACAGCTGCATAGAGAGCCTTGAGGAGAGACTGGAGAGGGAGGCGTTGGGGAAAGAATGGGAGGAGGAACCAGGGAGTCCCGACTCCCTCCCCATTCCATAGTCTCCAATTTGAGCTGGGAGGAAGCACCCCCAAAGAGGCAGAAGCAGGGCGTGGGGAGCCATATGGCCTACAGTTACAACGTGGTCCACAGAAATAGTGGATCCTTGGCGGAAGGGGTCATAGAACTGCCCAGAGACCCCGGAAGAGAGACTGGAGACAGAGGTGTCGGGGAAAGAATGGGAAGAGAAACCAGGGAGTCCCGACTCCTTCTCCGTGCCATAGTCTCCACTGTGCGGGAACAGGTCACATCCCCAAAGAGTCAAAAGCTGAAAAGCACACAATAATCAGCCCAAAACCACCCAGTGCAGGCACACACACTCCTGCCGAGTGGCCGGCGAGGATTGGCGAGCGTTGGCGAGCGTGTGTGTGGACTGCGCGAGCTGGAGAGGGCTCCCGCAGGTTGCTACCCGCCGGCCTGTGCGGGAGTATGCAGATCGGCGAGGGCAGACATAAATAGACCCGTGGGGGCCCCCAGAGTGCAGAGTGGTCCGCAGAAATAGTGGATCCCGGGGCGAAGGGGTCACAGACTTGCCCAGAGTCCCTGGAGGAGAGACTGGAGACAGGATGAACCGGAGAGTCCTGGAGCTGAATTCCTCCCATTTCCATAATCTTCATTTGGCAAGGGCAGGCGAAGCCCCCAAAGAACCAAAAGCAGGGAAAGCACCCAGCGGGAGACCCTAAACTACCAGTCCTGAGGCGCCCACCGTGCGCAGGAAGAGTGTGCGAGGTTGGGTGAATAAGTGCCCAGGCAGGTGGGGGATCCTGTCAGGCTGGGATCCTGTCAGCCGGGGAGCACGCTCAAAGAGCCTGCGTGAATTTGCAAAGCGATCCGCAGTAATAGTGGATCCCTGACTGAAGGGGTCACAGAGCTGCCCAAAACAGGAGTCAGACACAGACAGTAGACTCCTGGAAGGCTCAAACAAATGACACAAAGTCATATAGGGTCAACAACTGACATCATAAGAGGCAGGCCCAGAAAGAAAAGTAAAGAAAAAAGAATAAATAAATAAATAAATAATATAAATAAATAAATAAATAAAAAGAACAGCCTACTACCATAGAAGTTTAATTCACAAAGTTAGGTACTCTAGATGGCCCAATTGAAGCAGAAGCAAAAATAAATACATAAATTACTTAACAGAGTCTCACAAAAATGGGAAGAAAAAGAAGTTCCCCCCAAATGAGTGGAAAAGGGAACTCCCCAAAGAGAGAGCTAAATGAAACAGAGGCAAGGGAACTATCAGATATTGAATTCAAAACAATGGTTCTAAGGAAGCTCAATGAGCTCAGCCAGCTCAAAGATAACTATGAGAAATGCAGAGAAACTATCAGGACCTACAGCAAACTATAGCAACCTGGAAAAGGACATAGAAACTATCAAGAAGACACAAGAGGATATGAAGAATACCATTTCTGAATTGAAGAACACAGTAGGCGGAATCCAAAGGCAGGCTGGATGAAGCCGAGGATCGAATCAGTGACATGGAGGATAAGGTAGAAAAAAGCTCCCAGGAAGAACAAGAAATGGAAAAAGGACTCAAAAAGAAAGAAGAGGCATTTAGGGAAATGCAGGACAACCTGAAACGCAATAATATCCACATAATAGGGATACCAGAAGGAGAAGAAGAGGAGCAAGGGATAGAGAACCTCCTCAATAAAGTAATGATGGAAAATTTCCCTAATTTGAGGAGAGAAAGGCTCTCATGGATCCAGGAGGCACAGAGGACCCCACTCAAGAGGGACCCAAGGAAGTCCACTCCAAGACACCTCATCATTAAAATGGCAACTATCAAAGACAAAGAGAGAATCCTCAAGGCAGCAAGGGAAAAGGAGAAGTAACATACAAGGAGCTGACTTCTCAACAGAAACACTACAAGCCAGAAGGGAATGGCAGCAAATATTCCAAGTAATGAAAAGCAAGGGCCTACAACCAAGGCTGCTCTACCCAGCAAGGCTCTCAACTAAAATAGAAGGGGAATAAGGAGTTTCCCAGACAAAAGAAGGCTTAAAGAATACATCTCTACCAAACCAGCACTACAAGATATGCTAAAGGGACTGGTTTAAAAAGATGAAATAAAAGTGTGAGAAAGAGAAAAACACAGGTAGAAAGGGAAAAAATGAATAGGTTTCTATAGGTAATAACTCTCAAGGTAAATGGACTAAATGCCCCAATCAAAAGACACAGGATAGCTGAATGGATAAGAAAACATGACCCATACATATGCTGCCTACAAGAGATTTATCTTAGAGGAAAAGACCTACACAAATTGAAAGTAAAGGGATGGAGAAAAATATTCCAAGCAAATGGGCAAGAGAAAAAGGGCAGGGTTGCAATACTTATATCAGACAAAATAGATTTCAAAACAAAGACCATAAAAAGAGACCCAGAGGGGCACTTTATAATACTTAAAGGAAGTATCTATCAAGAAAACATAAACATTGTAAAATTATATGACCCCAATATATGAGCACCCAAGTATACAAGGAAAATCTTGGATGACGTCAAAAAAGATATAGACAGCAACACACTGATAGTAGGGGATTTCAACACCCCACTGTCAAAAATGGACAGATCTTCCAAACAAAACATCAATAAGGATATTGTGGAGCTGAATGACGCACTCAATCAAAGAGACTTAACTGACATATATAGAACCTTACATCCCAAAGAAGAAAAATACACATTCTTTTCAAATGCTCATGGCAGTTTTTCAAAGATAGACCACATGATAGGACACAAAGCAAGCCTCAGCAAATTCAGGAAAATTGAAATAATACCAAACTTTTTCTCAGACCGCAAGGGCTTGAAACTGGAAATCAACCTCAAAGAGAAACTTCAACAACTTGCAAACTCGAACCCAGAAACTGAGGATATGTGGAGTCGCAGTGTCTGGCGGCTCCTGCTATCTGAAAGCAGCGGGTGGCGCCAGGTTTCAACCCCGCGACGGGCGTTTCTCATGGGCACTGCGGAGAGACTTCTTCACCACCACAACCAAGGAAGAATATGATACAAGGCGAGTGGACATAACTCCTTCAGAACAAAGAAAATTAACTTTTGATACTCATGCATTGGTTCAGGACTTGGAAACTCATGGATTTGACAAAGCACAGGCAGAAACGATTGTATCAGCATTAACCCCTTTATCAAATGTCAGCTTGGATACTATCTATAAGGAAATGGTCACTCAAGCTCAACAGGAAATAACAGTACAACAGCTAATGGCTCATTTGGACTCCATCAAGAAAGATATGGTCATCCTAGAGAAAAGTGAATTTGCAAATCAGAGAGCAGAGAGTGAGAAAATGAAAATTGAATTAGAACAAGTTAAGCAACAGTTGATAAATGAAACCAGTGAAATCAGAGCAGATAATAAACTGGATATCAACCTAGAAAGGAGCAGAGTAACAGATATGTTTACAGATCAAGAAAAGAAACTTATGGAAGCAACCACAGAATTTACCAAAAAGGATACCAAAACCAGAAGTATTATCTCAGAGACCAGTAATAAAATTGACACTGAAATTGCTTCTTTAAAAACACTAATGGAATCCAACAAGCTTGAGACAATTCGTTATCTTGCAGCCTCAGTGTATTCTTGCCTGGCAATAGCCTTGGGATTTTATAGAATCTGGAAATAACAGTGAAACAACTATATTATGCTTCTACTGCTGCTGCTACTGACTTCTTAAAACACTGTACCAGGATAGATTTACTTTGAACATTGAAAGTTGCAGCAAGACTCTATAACAAGATTGTTCAAAGTACATAGGGACTAAAAAGAAATGTTTTAGAATAAGATGTATTTTGCCTTTGTTTTTATGTCTTTATTTTATTATGTTGAAAAGCTGCCATTCAAAACATGATTAATTTGAGATAGAAGGGTCTTTTGTCTTATTCTTTGATAGTTCATAGAAACTGAACCAAAGTTTTCTTGTGTTTGCTTGAACAATTGTGTAAATCATATAGGATTTCTTTGGTTATCTTCTTCCTATATATTTTGTCGTTCAACTTTTCTGATAACTATTATACTATTGCCTTTTCATATAAAATAAAATGTTGTAAGACAAAAAAAAAACTTGCAAACTCATGGAGACTGAGCAGTACACTATTAAACAATGAATGGGTCAATAATGAGATAAGAGAAGAAATAAAAAAATTTCTGGAAACAAATGAAAATGAACAGACAACAGTCCAAAACCTATGGGACACGGCAAAGGCAGTCCTGAGACAAGAGTTCATAGCAATACAGGCTTACCTAAAAAAGATAGAAACATTTCAAATAAAAGACCTAACACTACAACTTCAAGAACTAGAGCAACAACAACAAATAAATCCCTGAGCAAGTAGAAGGAAGGAAATAGTCAAGATTAGAGCAGAACTGAATGATATAGAGACAAAAAGAACAATTCAAAGGATCAACCAAGCCAGAAGCTGGTTCTTTGGAAAGATAAATAAAATCAACAAGGCTTTAAGCAGACTCATCAAGAAAAAAAAGGGAGAGGACCCAATTTAATAATATCAGAAAGGAAAGAGGAGTAATAACAACTGATACCACAGAAATACAAAGGATTATAGGAAACTACTATGAACAATTACATGCAAAGAAATTTGAAAACCTCAATAAAATGGTCAAATTTCTAGAAAAGTATAATCTTCCAACACTGAAGGAGGAAAAAACAGAAAGCTTGAAGAGATCGATAACAACTGGGGAAATTGAAGCAGTAATCAAGAAACTCCCAGCACACAAAGCCCAGGGCCGGATGGTTTCACAGGAGAATTTTACAAAACATTTAAGAGCTAAACCCTGTCCTTCTCAGATTATCCCAAAAAATCCAGAAGGAGGGAAGACTCCCAGACTCTTTTTATGAGGCCAGCAACACCCTAATCCCAAAACCACATAAAGACCCTACAAAGAAAGAAAACTGCAGGCCAATTTCGCTGATGAACATAGATGCTAAAATCCTCAACAAAATATTGGCAAACTGCATACTGCAATACATTCAAAAGATTATCCAGCACAATCAAGTGGGATTCATCCCAGGGATGCAGGGATGTTTCAATATACGCAAGTCAATAAACGTGATACATCACATAAATAAAAGACAAGACAAAAACCACATGATCATCTCGATAGATGTAGAAAAAGCATTTGATAAAGTACAGCACCCATTTATGATCAAAACACTCAGCAAAATGGGAATAAATGGAGCATTCCTCAATGTAATAAAGGCCATATATAAAAAACCTACAGGCAACATCATACTCAACGGGCAAAAACCGAAAGCTTTCCCACTAAGGTCGGGAACATGACAAGGATGTCCACTTTCACCAATTCTTTTCAACATCGTATTGGAAATCCTAGCCACAGCGGTCAGACAAGAAAAAGAAATAAACGGCATCCAAATAGGAAAGGAGGAAGTAAAACTCTCCTTGTTTGCAGATGACATGATAGTGTACATAGAAAACCCTGTAGACTCTACCAAAAAACTCCTCAACCTAATAAGTCAACTTGGCAAAACAGCAGGATACAAAGTCAATATTCAGAAATCAAAGGCATTTTTGTACACCAACAATGAAATAGAAGAAGAAGAAATCAGGAAAAAAATACCATTCGATATAGCAACAAGAAAAATAAAGTACCTAGGAATAAATTTAACCAAGGAGTTAAAAGACCTGTACGCAGATAACTATAAAACATTGAAGAAAGAAATTAAGGAAGACGCAAATAAATGGAAGCATATACCGCGCTCATGGATTGGAAGAATTAATATCATTAAATGTCCATACTACCCAAAGCAATTTATAGATTCAACGCAATCCCTATTAAGATACCAATGACGTATTTCACAGAAATAGAACAGACATTTCAAAAATTTATGTGGAACCATAAACGACCCCGAATAGCCACAACAATTTTGAGTAAGAAACACAAAGTAGGAGGGATCACAATACCGGACATCAAACTATACTACAAAGCCACTATACTCAAAACAATCTGGTATTGGCACAAGAACAGACCCATAGACCAGTGGAACAGAATAGAAAGCCCAGAAATAAGCCCAGGTCTATATGGGCATCTAATATTTGACAAAGTGGGCAGAAGCATAAAATGGAGCAATAACAGCCTCTTCAACAAATGGTGTTGGGAGAGCTGGACGACTACATGCAAAAAATTGAAATTGGATCATCAGCTGACACCATACACAAAAATAAACTCAAGGTGGATAAAAGACTTAAATATAAGTCGCAACACCATCAAAGTCCTAGAGGAGAACATTGGCAGGAAACTCTCAGATATCCCACGCAGCCATTTTTTCACTGATATGTCTCCTAAAGCAAGGGACAGAAAGGAAAGAATAAACAAGTGGGACCTCATCAAAATAAGAAGCTTCTGCACGGCTAAAGAAAATATCAGCAAAATGAAAAGGGAGCCAACCCTATGGGAAAATATATTCACTAATGATACATCAAATAGAGGTTTGATCTCCAAGATATATAAAGAACTCACTCGACTCCACTCCAAGAAGACAAATGATCCAATCAAAAAATGGGCAAAGGACCTGGGCAGACATTTTTCCAAGAAAGAGATACAGAGGGTCCAGAGGCATTTGAAAGGATGCTCAGCATCACTAGCCATCAGAGAAATGCAGGTCAAAATCACCATGAGGTACCACCTCACACCAGTCAGAATGGCCATCATAAACAGATCCACAAGCAACAGGTGCTGGCGAGGCTATGGAGAAAAGGGAACCCTAGTCCACTGTTGGTGGGAATGCAGATTGGTGCAGCCATTGTGGAAAGCAGTGTGGAATTTCCTCAAAAAGCTGAAAATGGAACTGCCTTTTGATCCAGTGATTCCCCTGCTGGGTCTATACCCTAAGAATCCCAAAACACCAATTCAAAAGAACCTATGCACCCCAATGTTCATAGCAGCACAATTTACAATAGCCAAGTGTTGGAAGCAACCTAAATGCCCATCAGTAGATGATGGGATCAAAAAACTATGGTACATTTACAATGGAATACTATGCAGCAGAAAGAAAAAAAGAACTACTAAACTTCGCAACAACATGGATGGAACTTGAGAGCATTATGCTAAGCGAAATAAGCCAAGGGGCGAAAGACAAATACCATATGATCTCACCTATAAGCGGAACCTAACCAACAATACAAAGATGCAAGGAAAATAAGACCAGCAACACTGAAAGGAAAAGAAACCAACAGAGACAAGAGGGAAGGACGGGGGATGGGCCGGGGGAAAAGGAAGGGAATGGGCAGGACAAGAAACATATAGCAAGGACTCATGAACAAAACCAAAGGGGATAGGCTGAGGGAGGGAGGGGGTGAGGGGAAAATGAAAATGATGCGGGGAAGGCAGAGACAAATGTATTTGAAAAAATTAATTAATTAATTAAAAAATAAACAAAGTTTATATTAGGGTTCACTCTTGGTGTTATACATCCTATGCATTTTAACAATGTATAATGACATGTAGTCACCAATAGAGCATTATATGGGGTAGTTTCACTGCCCTAAATATCCTCTGTGCTCTATTAATTTCTGCCTCCCCTCTAATTCTGGCAACCACTCATTTTTTTTACCCTCTATAGTTTTGCCATTTTTAGAATGTCATATACTTGGAACCACGCAGTAAGTAGCCCTTTCTGATTGGCTTCTTTCCCTCAGAAATATACACTTAAGGTTCACACATGTGATCTCATGGCATGCTAGCTCATTTCTTTTGGGTTTCTTTTTTCCAGCTTTGACACTTATATTTTTTAGATGCTTAAGGAATATATTTTTATTTCTAAACATTTTAGATTTGTATTTAGTTATGAATGCTTTTCCTGTTACTTAAATGGCTAAGCATATAAAAAAATGATTTTGACCCTACAAGGCAATCAGCAAAAGGGATTTTAGTAGGATCTAGCTAATTAAATCATGTGTTTTAAAACAATCAAGAGGAGATATATATATGTTTTTAAGTTGTATGCTCATGGTATATAATAGTTAAATATGGATTTCTAAACCTTTACATGATTTGAAAATCTAGAAGTTTACACTTTTTGGTTTTTGATGTACCAGTATGAGACTTCTTTTTTGGACACACAACTTGTGACATTTGTTGAAAGAGTTAAAAGCTGATCTGTGATATCTCTGTTATGCCCCAGGTTGTCATGATACTGACACTTGACCAAGATAGCTATTAAACATACTAGCTAGTAATTTACAAGGTGTTGTTTAAAGTCTGATACTTGCCTGGAGGTACTCTGTACCACTTTGTCTGCTTTGTTGATTGAAAATGGTTTGTATCTATTTCACCTGTTTAAAAAAGTTGGTTTTGGCTCCCTGACCGGCAGAGCGTGAAAGAACACCCAGTGAACTTTCACCTTGGTGATCACGATCCTCAGATGAAGCATGTCATGCATCTGAGAAAAGAGATTGAAAGCTCTGTCTAGAAATCTTCATTCTTTCTTACATTTCTCTATGCTTCTTTTTTTTTTTATCTCCTGCTGCTTCTTTTTGCTTTTTTAAAAAGCTTTATATGAGTATACCCCGTGGAGTTTCATGAATTCTTTTCATTATCTGACTCTGTGCTTCAGGGTGCTTGGAGCTGGATACTTGAAGTGACCCTTGG